GGGAATAACATAAAACAATGACAAACTCAGTATGTTTAAAAGAAAGCAGTAAGAATAGTGTACAAAGCAAGGAGTGGCGATCCCAGCACCCCACTGTTCATTCTTTAATAACATTTTATGAATCAAAAGATTTTAAAATGATACGATGATGTTATTACCATAGAGAGGGATTTGAGGGTCTCTCTGGTTACAGTGTTACTTCAGAACTCCAATAATTTGGATAAAAGGCAGACGACGGATGCCACTGTGGAGTGTCCATGCTTTGGTTTTAGGCTGCTTCTCCACAGACGTCACACATTTACTGCTTATGTCCAGAGTGGGTTTGCAGATGGTTTATTAAGTATCTTTTATGAGTAAAGGCCTTTCCACACTGACCACAGCTGAACGGTTTAACCCCACTGTGGGTGAGCTGATGTCTCCGTAGGTTAGTAATCAGCGTAAAGGCCTTTCCACACTGACCACAGCTGAATGGTTTAATTCCACTGTGGAGGAGCTGGTGATTTTTTAAATCACCTTTCTGACTAAAACACTTTCCACACTGATCGCAGCTGAATGGTTTAACCCCACTGTGGGTAAACTGGTGTCTTTTCAATTCACCCATCTCAGTAAAGGCCTTTCCACACTCCCCACAGATGAATGCTTTAACCCCACTGTGGATGAGCTGATGTCTTTTTAAGCTCCTGTGGCTAACAAAACCTTTTCCACACTCCTCACAGCTGAAAGGCTTAACGTCACTGTGGGTGAACTGGTGTGTTTTTAAATCACCCCTGCGAGTGAAACACTTTCCACACTGATCACACTTGAATGGTTTAACCCCACTGTGGATCAGCTGGTGTTTCTTTAAGATCCCACTGAAAGCAAAACCCTTTCCACACTGCTCACAGGTGAATGCTGTAATTCCACTGTGGATGAGCTTATGTGTTTTTAATTTACTCGGGCAAGTAAAAGACTTTCCACACTGCTCACAGGTGAATGGTTTAACCCCACTGTGGACAAACTGGTGTCTTTTCAAATCACCCTTCTCTGTAAAAGCCTTTCCACACTCGCCGCAGACAAATGCTTTAATTCCACTGTGGGTGACCTGGTGTCGTTTTAATTTACTAATGCAAGTGAACGCCTTTCCACACTGATTACAGATGTATGGTTTAACTCCACTGTGAGTGAGCTGATGACTGTTTAAATCACTCATCTCATTAAAACTCCTTCCACACTGACCACAGCAGAATGGTTTAACCGCACTGTGGATGAGCTGGTGTCTCTGTAACTTACTAACGCAGGTAAAACCCCTTCCACAGTGGTCACAGCTGAATGGCTTAACCCCACTGTGGACGAAGTGATGCTGTTTTAAATCACTCTTCCGAATAAAACACCTCCCACACTGCTCACAGCTGAATGGTTTAACCCCACTGTGGATGAGCTGGTGCTTTTTTAAATCACTCGACTCAGTAAAACCCTTTCCACACTGCTCACAGATGAAGGGTCTGTCCCCACTGTGGATGCGTTGGTGTCTTCTGAGGTGGTCCATCTTGGCGAAAGCCTTTCCACAGACGACACAACGATGCACTCTGTTTCCCTTTGCGGCTGGTGGGTGAGCTTTGTCAGGCCCACTGCAGTGCTGAGGTCTCTGGCCATTTTTGCCTCTTTGTTCCTGTAGTGACAGAAACTAATCTGTGAACCTGCAGTCCTGAGACAATGTCACTGAATTCATGTTAGCATGTGTATGAACCTGTCTCCTCACCGCTTGTGGAGAATCAATTTCTAAACTCTTCCTTTGCTCCTCCATCTCCTCCTGTTGGGATGGAAAAGATTATCATTGATAATCAAACACAATCCAAACACTTGCTGGCAGTTACCTTTAGACCATAAAGATATTGAACTCTGAAGCTGCATATTTTTATTTAATATGGATGCATTACTCATTGGTATTGATCAATTGTCAATTTGCATATCAGCAAGCCTGTTGTTAGGCAGTGGTGTGTCGATCTCCAGGGCCAGCAACAAGTCTGGTTCAGTCATTTGGCAGGTGTTGATAAACTGTGTGGGAGGAAGGATGAAAGACCCAAATGCAGGACTCACGGGAAACCAAGGCTACGTCTACACTAATCCGGATAAATTTGAAAACTGAAAACGTCCACACTATTGTTTTCAATCATTTTTGAACAGTTGTGCATCCACACTAAAACGACTAAAAACAATTACTTTGCTGTACTGCGCATGCGTGAAACGTAAGATGATTCGACCTGCGTTATTTCTGTCTGCCGTTTATTTACTTTCCGGCTCTTTGAAATGTCTAGGAAAAGCATCAAGTTTTTTAAATGGACTAACAATGAGGTGGAGTTGCTGCAAGTAACATAAAAGTACAAAGTTGCAAAAGTGAGTGAGAATTAAAGAATTTGAAGAAAAGCTATCTGGAGCATGTCCGAACTGATATTAATCTTTGATATGGCTGTCAAAATTGAGAGCAAACAAAATAACTGCTGTACAATGCCGTCCGCCATCTTGGTTGAATTGGTCACATGAATGCATCACATGACTAAAATTCGTCATCGTTTTTAAAAAGCCTGCGTTTTCGCAGGGCACACTGCGATGCAAAACCAGCGTTTTCAAATGTATCCACTTTGGAAAGCGTTTTCAAAAAGGTCAGTTTTCCTTGACCAAAAACACTGTCTCAGTGTAGACGGAAGGCCAAAATGGAGAGAAAAGACGCGTTTTCAAACGAAAAGGCATTAGTGTGCACATGGCCCAAGGAGTAACTAAGGGAGGCAGCTTTAGTGGCTGTATGAAACCCGAACATTAACACGAGAAAACTGACCGAAAACTAGAAACAATGAACTACACCAGAAACTGGGAAACTCGAACTGGGAATCACAAGATGCACGGAGGAAACACACAGCACTATGAGGGAACATGATGGTGCGATGCGACAGACAGACAGATGAAAACACAGGAACGGAACCAGAAAGAAAAACAAATAGTCCAGGAGGCCGCGGCAGTGCAGATACAGTTCAGGGGCCAACCGCGTGGAAAGTGGTAGGGGCGAAGGCTAAGTGGGTCTGGAGGCCAACCTTGCGGAAAGCAGCGGCGGTGTACTGGAAGCAGCTCCGGAGGTCGACCGCGTGGGAAGAGGCGACAACGCCACAGTTCAGGAGGCCACCTTTGATGGCGAAGATCCTTGGCCAATAGATCCTGAGTACGACGATGGCAAAGGAGGGCCTTTTCTGGAACCCAATGAAGAAGATGACGGAGACAAAGAGCTTCAGGTGGCTTGGATGGCAGCCATCGTTGGTGTGGTTTGGAGGATTGTGGGCATCAATGTAGTTTGGTGTGATTTGGCGGATGGACGAGGATGTGCTGGCCTAATCGGACGTGGACGTATCCAGAGAACAACACTAAACACTGGTCACCAACCCAGGACCATGACAGGTACAGCAAAATCAAAATGAACCGACCCAAAATGCCTCGAGGAGCTCCAATGTATGCCCAGTCGAGTGCCCACTCATCTCCACTTCTCATCCATGGCTATCCAGTCTAGCGTTGCAACTACCGATTATTTTAGTAATAGATTATTCCATCGAGTAAGAAATACTTTTGTGCTGTTGATGAGCAATAATAAATAAATAATATTAAAAGAGAAAAAATACAGGTCTTTCAAAATTAACTGCTCATTGTGTTCCAGTTCAGAAACTGCAGTGTTTTCTGTTTCACCCTTCATGTGTTTCTTTTTTTTAAAAACCCAAAAACCCTTTGAACTGAGGTTTACTGCAGATGTTTCTCTGTGCAAAACAAACAGCGGAGGGTGGAGCAGCTGCAGAGTTCACTTTTCTTCACCTCAGTTTGTTGATCAGGTGCTTTGATGACGGACTCCCGCTCGGTTTTTCCCAGTAAAGGTTTTAATGGTCGTTACAGGAACAGCTGCTTCTGTGCCTGTGTCATCTTCACTGCTGCTGTTGTGTTATCATTGTTTTTGTTTAAAACTGCGGGCTGCGTGGGCCTGATGTGGTTACACTTTATATTCACACGCTACTCCTAAATGCATTTCTATTGCAGGTCTGTTTGTAGTCGCACATGTGGGTGAAACACGTTTACATCATTTAATGCTACAGAGCCATCCATTAAGATAAGATAAGATGACCTTTATTAGTCCCACAGGTGGGAAATTTGTTTTGTTACAGCAAAAGTGCAAAGTTATGTAGCAGAAATTAGAAAACACTGGAATGCAATAAAATACAATAGAATAAAATATAAATACAAATACTATATACAACTGAGTGGGAAAATACAAAAATACAACTTCGTCAGAAGAAGAATTGCACATATAGCAGTCTTATTGCACATGTGAGGGTTTGATCAGCTGCAAAACTCTTTATTGTGGAGTCTGACAGCAGTGGGGAGGAAAGACCTGTGAAATCTCTCTGTCCCACACCGTGGGTGCCGCAGTCTCCCACTGAAGGAGCTGCTCAGTGCTGTCAGAGTCTCCTGCATGGGGTGGGAGATGTTGTCCAACAGGGATGACAGCTTAGCCGCCTTTCTCCTGTCACTCACCACCTCCACTGGGTCCAGAGGGCATCCTAGAACAGAGCTGGCCCTTCTGATCAGCCTGTTCAGTCTCTTCCTGTCCCCAGCAGAGATGCTGCTGCCCCAGCAGACCACACCATAGAAGATGGCTGAGGCCATCACAGAGTCATAGAAGGTCTTCAGGGGTGGGCCCTCTACTCCAAACGACCTGAGTCTCCACAGCAGATACAGCCTGCTCTGCCCTTTCCTGTAGAGGGCGTCTGAGTTATGAGTCCAGTCCAGTTTGTTAAATGAAGCATCAAAGAATTTCTGTGGAGAATTTTTGTACTCCACTTATTCGAAGTACTCAATGAATCGTTGCAGCCCTAATCCAATCTCTCTGTTCACATGAGATCCAGCGATATCTAGCTACACCTTTTCATCCACTCCATCTCGCTTTGAGTGCTCAGATAGAGTAGAAAAGCACTATATAAGAACCAATCCATTTACCATTTACCATCTCCAACCTTTCATCCCGGTTGAACTAAGGCAAAGGTTATTTCATTTCATGTCTTCATGTCATTTTAGCACAATCCGCTTTAAACCAGTTAGAGGAACACTTTCTCAGTAATTTACTCAGTACAACTGTTTTATGAAATCATACATTTTTAAAGTCAGACATCAGCGTGACCTGTGTGTCCGAAATGTTTCTCCCACGGAAAATGTCCAGATGAACAGAATCAACTCTCTGAGGTCAGCTGAGATGAAGGTGGCTCACATTATATCACAGACTGTTTCCCTCCCCAGGACTGCTTTGAGACAACTGACTGGCAGATATTTGAGAATGCCGCTCATAGCAACATCAATGAACTCACAGACTCTGTCATTGGATATATTGATAAATCCATAGACGATATCATCACCAAAACCACCGTCTGCAAATATACAAATCAGAAAGTCTAGGTAATTAAAGACAATCATACTAAGGTCAAGGCGTGAACCTCTGCCTTTACCTCAGGGAATCCTGACGCATATAAAGACAACAAGGAGCAGATCCTCTACCCTCAGGAGGACAGTGAGGCTATAACTGCATCCCAGGCTGGGTTCTCAGGGCGTGCGCCGACCAGCTGGCAGGGGTGTTCACCAACATCTTCAACCTCTCCCTGAGACAGTCAGTGATCCTCACATCCTTCAAAACATCCACTGTCATTATTGTCCCAAAGAAATCAGCGGTCTCCTGTCTGAATGACTACCGCCCTGTTGCACTGACATTGTCATTATGAAGTCCCTCGAGCGGCTAGTCAAAGGTCACATCTGCTTCTCCCTCCCTGACAGGCTGGACCCTCTTCAGTTCGCCTAACTACAGAGGATGCCATCGCCCTAACAACGCACACCAACCTCACTCACCTGGGAAAAAAAATACATATTCAAGAATGCTCTTCATCGACTACAGCTCGGCTTTTAACACCATCATCCCCTCAAAACTTGCCTCGAAGCTTGTCGACCTTGGGCTGGGAACACCCATCTGCAGATGGATTCTGAACTTCCTCACAAACAGGCCCCAGGTCGTGAGAGCAGGTAAGCACACCTCCTCATCACATCCTAAACACAGGAATGCCACAGGGATGTGTGCTTAGCTCCCTCCTTTATTCCCTGTTCACACACACGATTGCGTTGCTAAACATAAGTCCAACACCATTATCAAGTTTGCGGATGACACAACCAGGCCTCATCACAGGCAACGATGAGATGGCCTATCGAGAGGAGGTGATAGCGCTGTACAAGTGGTGTCTGGAAAATAACCTGACTCTCAACATCAGCAAAACAAGGGAAATGATAGTGGACTACCAGAAACGACCAGTCAGGGAACACCAGTCCATCAACATCAACAGTGTCGAGGTCGAAAGTGTCACCAACTTTAAATTCCTTGAAGTCTACATCACTGAGGATCTCTCCTGAACCCTTCACACAGACATTGCTATCAGGAAAGCTCACAAGCGACTCTACTTTCTGAAAATCACTACAGAGGGTGGTGAAGGCAGCAGAGCACATCACTGGCATGAGGCTTCCTGCCATTCAGGGTCAGCGATGCCATTCCTGCCATCGCTAGCCCGACGTCTCGGGGCTAGCGATTTTTCCAGTCGGGCTACCAAAATCTATCTCTGCCCTG